AAGCTCCTGACAGAAAATAAATCAGCGTTTAACAAACAACAAGGAAATTTTAAGCCTGTTTACGGTTGGAATAGGAGGTACATAAGGTCAACCAATAAGGTGAGAGGGTGTCGAAACTCACAAATCTGGGAATCACCAAGTTTCAAGTGAGAGATGTACAAGTCGTGAGAGAGGTGGAAGGAAAAAAAGAGCAGCGTAGACCAAGAAAAATGAAAAAAAAAACAGAGGGGGAGATTGTGAAAAAAAGCACTAAATTTGAAATCTTGCCTCCCTTTGGAGACCCAGCTCTGAACGGCGTCCAAAAACTTATGAGCTTTTTTGAACAAATAGCTGACATGCCTCAGAACAGAGGTTGTTTATCTTGGGATGGAGTGAAGGGGGAGAGAGAGGAGGGATGCAAGGAAAGCCTGGGAGAGAGAGGAGGGGGAAACAGGAACAGAGAGATGGACAGGAGGATTTCAGCAGATTGTGCAAAAGGAATAAAAGGGAGGCAGAAGAGAGAGGAGATGCTTGGGAAAGCGGGCTGTTAAAAAAAAAAAAGAAAAAAAAGAGTTTCGGCAGATCTACCAAAAATATATTTTCCTTCTGAAACTCAATGCAACAATCAAGACAACGGGTCCAAACTGAGATTTAATGTAAGAATACATCTACTTGAGTGTGAAGCCAAGACATGTGAAACAGTGCCTCAAACACAAGTCAGTCACAAAGTGGTTTAGAAAGAGAGCAGAGGACCGGACAACACCATGGAGTCTGCAGGAGAGTTAGTGACGGACAGAAGAAGAAACAATACACGAGTGTCAGCCTCCACACTCGTCTACAATTGTACAAAACACAATTTATTCTTGTATCTTAAAAAAAGGTTTTCAGGCTGACGTGCTGACATCAATGCAGATAACATATCAACTCAGATAACAGCATTCAAAAAGCATGACTAACAACAGGCAGATTTCAACAAGAGAGTCACTGAAACAACAGGACTTTGGATCATTTACTCAATAAACACCTCTATTATCAAGGCAACCTTAAAAGCTCCCCACGAGTAATGAATCAGGCACCCAAACATGTTCACATTACAAGGTTAGATTGAGTCCATCATTGAACCAAGGCCAATTACAGAAAGTAAGGGAAACATTGTCCATCTATCTCTTAGAATGTTGCACCTTAAAATCTACAAGAAGAAAGTACAGCGCGACCATCTAAAAACACATTGTCAAAGCTTCACCCTGTAAAGTTGTTATGGCTAGCATGTTAGCAAACACATCACACGTCTATATCCAGCAGACACGTAGCCACATTAGCATTCAATGTGAGATGTGTCTCAGCCACCTGACCAATGCTAGTCCAATATTAACTCGGCCGTTTTGGTCTCCACCGACTCCTGAGGGAATTAACAGACTCTTTAGCTGCTAAATGCTTCACTGTGTTCACCAGCTGGTCGTTAAGCAGATTTTTTAATTTTGGCTGAAAGCATCTGGCGGTTGGAAACGACACTGGTGAGAGCGGTGAGACTGAACCAAATCAGTAAAGGTATAAAAACCAAAACAATGAGCTTGAAGGCTGAGGGGAACTGCTGAGTCATTGGATTGTGACGTTCATCACTACGAGACACCTCCATTGTTAAGACAAAAACATTGAGAACAGCAGCTTTAAAGCACACGACTGGTGTCTATTCTATATTTTTCTTATTGTCAGAAAGTCCCAAGTGTCTCTCAAAATGTTGTGACTTCACTACTCTGTGGCTCTCAGCCCCAAAACCATTGTTCCCTACTGAGGATGTTAATCAGATAAACTAATAGGTTTGTTTTTTTAGCAAACGTAACTCAAAAAGGAGTGCATTGTGCATTTGTTGGGAACTATTTTCAGCTGGGGATTAATACACCAATTGGTGCTTTCGTGAGTATTTACAGCTGACCCAAAATACTAGTGCCATGCATGTTAATGGTAATGAGAGAACATGTCCACCAGGGCATCAGTGTCTCTGATCAATGTGTTTTTAGTCATTTTTGGACAACAAGAGGTTGTCCATTGATAGAGAGGAATAAGCAGGCTGTTGATACACAAACAGTAGTTGTCAGAAGAATCAGTTCCATATTTTGTGTATTTTCTGCCTTCTTCTTTGAACTAGACAGACATATTTATGTATCGTGTTAGCTGTTTACTTGCATTCTGAAGGTGTGAGTCTGCGGTTATCATGTGGAATGCTTTAACGAGAACTGGTGTAAACCAGTCCAAAAATGTGATTTTCTGTAAGAAAAAGGAGCTTGTTGATTCTGACTGGAAACTGGGTGGCATTTTTTTTTTTTTGGGACACCTGAGCCAAAAAGCCAGGAGATTTGGTGAACAAATATCCACAGTGAATGTCTCTGAACCTGCCAAAAGCACGGTGAAGCCTGGCCGTGCCAGCGCCAGCCCTCCATAGAAGTGTGGGCATAGAGAAGTGGAGACAAGACAGCCAAATACAGACACACACGGGCATGGAATGCAGACACACACACATACACACATACACACACCCACACACACACACACACACACTTATCCTCAGATGCCCTCTGGTATCGTATATAGAGGTGTGTATTAAACTGTCTTTGCTTAAAGGACATATTAACTTAATAACAGACGAACAGTGCAGAACATTCCCCCAAAATAACATCAGAATTAAATCAGTGTGAGATATTGTTCAAGTGGAGGAATGAACAGAGAGACACTGTGGAGACTGTGAGGTAAACCTACTGATTGAACACGATCGGTTTCAAATGCAGCAAAGCGGCCTGATTGGATGGATTATAGTAACACGTTAATGCTCTGGGCCAATCAGGAAGAAGTATACTGGATTCATTCTTAAACGTCCTGTAAAATACGTGGATATTTATTTTCCACATATTTTTGAATATGAACCAATCAAGCAAAGTATTTTTAAACGTGAGTTAACAGAGAACGACTTAATTCTCGTGAGATGAGGAAGGGTGTTGTCTGAAACAGTGAACGATGGCGGCTTTCCAGCTAGTGTGTTATTGTGTTCACTTCCGCCTCCCTACGTGAGTTCCTCAGTGTGTGTGTTTGTGTGTTTGTGTAAGTGTGGTACCAAGGGAGAAGTGTCATGTGGCCGCGGTGTCATGGGTGGCGGTGTATGTTGGCAGACTTACAGGCCACCTCGGAGCTTTAATGACCTGTTAGGAGCCTTTGAGGACGGCGTAAGGATGCTTCTGTTCCTGTTGATAAGACACTGTTTCCTGTTGGACAGGTCAGCGTCGGATACATGAGGTGTACGCTTTATGGGACTACAGCTCTAACAGCCGATCGCTGAGGTTTGGATGTATAGCTTTGCTGCAGTCAGTCAAGGAGCAGTTCATTTAACTGAAGTTGAATCTGGTGACATTAAACTGTAAACCCTATCAACTGTTACCTCAACAGTATAAACTTTAAAGGAGGTCTGGAGTAGAGGAAAATCCACTCATCCCTCCGATGTAAACGCTATAATGTGGATTCACCGTGTTTGCTCAAATGGAATTCATGAATGAATCATGAATGGAGTGAAATACAAACTGTATTATAAACAGCAGATAGTTTGCCGTTTGTCCAGTGACTCACTAGATTCAACTCTGGTTTCCTTTTTAGTTGAATCATCACAAACATGAGCCAACTGACGTCATGTTTTTCAGGGTTTTAAGGGATAAAAGTTTTCAAAGAGTGACATGGAAACATTGTCAACAGACAATTTTCAGCCTCCATTGTGAGGAAAACCTGGAATTATTATTATTTTTTTTACAGGTTTTAAAACACAAATATGTATCGGCCTACAAATCCACATCCCCCATGTGTTGGTTACAATTTGACAGTAGGCCAATCTGTATCAACACAGACAATCACTGAGAAAACATATAACTATTATATTCATGAGGCTATTATGTTATAGGCTATCTAATTTATATGCAATACACGGAGGATTAAAGTAATATTTATACATTTTGGTAAATATTTATTTGGTTTCTTGCTGAGAGGCAAACAAGAAGAACAATAACACCTTCAGATCTGACAATTAGATATGAAGCTAGAACCAGGGAAGAATTAGATTAGCTTTGACTGAGTTATAAGATATAACCTGCTGGTAGGAAGAAGTTGCCTTTGGACAGAGCTAGCTGTTTCCCCGATGCCATTCTTTATGGTACGCTAAGCTAACGTCTCTTAGCTGTAGCTTAAAAAAAATGTAAAAACAGAATGATATCAATACTTTGTGTACCTTAACTTTCTGCAAAAAAAGAAGAAAAAAAAAACGTATTTTCCAATAAATGACAACTGCATGCTCATACTATCAGCAGATGATTGGTTATATTAAAAGCTACTGTTATATTTGTGTTAGTTTAAGGCACATACAAGCCACAAGTGAAGGTCAGACACATTAGATTTAGGTTTAAATGGAGTCACATTAACATGTGGGTAGTTAAACATTAAGCAGGCAAACTGAGTCACCATGATAAAAAAGTCAGAATTATGTATTTCCCTCTTGCTAAAAAGTCAGCAGATACTCAGCTGATCGAGTCTGATGATCAGCACTTGACAGGTTGGCACTCTCTTGAGCAAAGCGTCATTTCAACCCACACATGTGTCTTTTTATGGAGCATCAGAAAGTGTTCACATTTGATATGAGAGCCATGTTACAGCGCCACCTACTTTTGGCTGCAGACGCAATGTTTACTTTTCGCTTGAACCCGTGTTGACAAGGCGCGCGGTATAGAGCCATCAAGCTGAAGTGTGAGGTGTGGGAGTTCCCGGCGGGGCTCTCTGATGGTTTCATTGGTGTTTGACCGACGGCCCGCCCCCCTTTCCTCATCCTCCGCGCTGCACCGCTCAGCACACCCGGCGCACTAGCGGGACAGTCCGGCGGCACCACCAGCTCCCTCGGACCGCACGAAGCTGAAATACATTCCTAATGGAAAGATAATTTAACCGGACCCAAGCAGTCTCCTTGCTCTTAGTGTCGCAGTTTCCGCGGGGTGAGTTAATGTTATATTATATTCATATGAGGTGAAATAACTCCATAATGTTCTCAAAAAGAGTCTGTAAAATTCAGTGATAAGTTAACGAGGACTTTATGGTACTTTCACATTGAATGTTATCACATTCATTTAGAGACTTTGAGAAAGTTTGCAGTAAGTAAGTGCACTGAATGTGTTGGAACTTTTTTTGGTGCATATGAAAAGTTTATCGGTACAATGTAATTTCATCATCCAGGGTCTATTTTATATTTTATATTTATTATATCTATTTTATATTTTTATTAAGTATATTCTATAATATCCTATAATATTTCAAAAACATTCCTTACATTTGACTGTGATATTTGTATTGTATCCTAGATAAGTATTGTTTGTAGAGGGAATAACAAAAATAACAACTTTTGATATAAATGCATATTTTGTGATTAATTATTGGCAATGCTGCTTGTTTTTTCCTATGCTTAAGATATGGATGAATTAAAAGGTGCTGAGGGGGAAAAAGCCTCCTGCTGACCAGAGAAAGAAAGCAAACATATTAGGTCTATAGTTTCAGATAAGGCGATACCATTAAGTATTGTAAAAATGTTGACTGAGACCAAGCTGTTATCAGACATGCTGTTAATGGTCATACTGTAAGTTGTTTTTAGTGTTGCGAGAGTCTCAGGTGTCTGACGTGAAACTCAATCCGCTCCGCTCTGTGTTTATATTCAGCAGCAGCAGCATATTCTTGGTCAGAATAAACTCTGCCACTGCTTTGATTTTTGTTTTTGTCGCTCTGCCGTACAATTACAGCAGTTGCACGACACAACCCGTCAATTTTTCAATACATGTCAAACAATGACGGGGGTGAAGTTGAAGTTGGTGGCCTTGAGGTGCTTTAATTACGGAGACAAACGGGCCGCGCAGTGTTGGACTCATTACAAGCTGGGGGCAGTGGCCTCTGACCCCTACAACCTGCCAGCGAGCCAACAGGGTCACCGTGTGAAATACAACACACACACACACACGCACACAAACATTGATTAAAGAGCCTGTTGGCCTGCTAAAGCCCGTCAATAAAGCTTATCAATAAAGAAAGCTAGTCAGCTTCAGTGATAATAACACAAAATCCAATACATGCAACTGATGAGCCTTACTGTGGAGCGGTGCACTCTGTGACCTTTCCATGTTTAACCGGCTCTGTAATTCCCCCAGTTAGTCTCCCCAGAGTAGGCGTGCAGTATATCCTCCTCGAGTACATGCTTTGATATTTCTAAGTTCGGCCTCCTGTATACGCACTCAGCTCAGCCAGCAGCAGATGACTAACACATGCATGTAATATGTTTCCTGTACATCCCCCTCATATGATTTACTCTAATGATACAGTACTTGATGAAGTAAATGAGTGCAGACATCCCCCCCGTGGTTTTCCTGCTCATTTTTTTTCCAACATTTACAACATAGTTCAACATTCCTCTGAGGGTGGCCTTTTGTGACCTTTGGGTGTCATTGACGCAACCAACCATAAAGGGGTTTAGGTGCAGAGGTGAGAACTCAGAATCCAGCTGCTGTATTTGTTTTCACACCACATGCTTTTTTTTTTTTTGCCACACATAATGATGATGTTGGGAAAACCGCTAAATCACGGTCTGCCAAATGGCCACAACTCACTCGTCTAACAAGATGGTCCAACATCCCCCCGGTAGAGGAATACGCCAAGTTTTTCTCATCTCATTAACACACTTAAAAAGTCACTATTTAGCATCTCACTTCAGATATTTTAGGATACAGATGTTAGTTGACATGTGAGGACATTTTTGACCAAGCCACCATGATTTTTAAACAGCTCATGTCTGGCTGCTGTCCAAAATTTGACTGCATGTGAACTTTTCCGATGATGATTGATGTAAACGGCTATGAAGCTATAGCTGTTCTCCCTGAAACTATACAACATGAAACTCTCTTGTAGAGCCAAATTAATACTGGATTTCTCAGGCTAATATCAATCTTTGACAGTTAAAAAAATACAAAATATCAGCTAATTTCTTGCCGAGGGGTATAGAAGAAAAGATCAAAATCACTCTCATGTCTGTACACGAAATATGTAGCGACAGCTAGTTAGCTTAGCTTAGCACAAAGACTAGAAACAGGGTAAAACAGCTGTCCAAAAGTAACAAAAATCCATCTCTAAAGAAATATTTTAGCAGATATAGCTCTGTCAGCATCTTTAAAGCTCACTAATTAACATGATATCTTGTTTCCCAGTGTTTCCAGTCTTTGTGCTAAGCTAAACCAGCTGCTGGACGTAGCTTCATATTTATCGCACAGATCTGAACGTAAGCTAGTGTGTATCATCTCATAAACTCTCAGCAATCAATCGTATTTTACAAAACGTCAAACTATTCCTTTAAAGACTTGTGGCTACAGAGCCGGACATATACTATCAGTCATGTACATGCGTCAGTCTGGCTGCAGTGTCTATGTTCTATGCTCTCATCACTTAACAGTTAAACTGACCTAAAGCCTCCTTTATAGACCTATAATGAAGAGAAAGGGGGGGGGGGATGTGCATGTGTGAGCAGAAGCAAGGGAGAAGAAAAGAAGAAATAGAGTTTATGTATGAGCGCAGAAGAGATATAAACTGAGAGAGAGAGGCAACAAAGAGGACAAATTGGGACTGCCGGTTCCAGCAGATGCAGGAAGCAGAGAGCCTCGGAGAGTATGGATATTTGTTGGAGCATGGAAATGTTTTCTTGGCTGAGGAGGAAGTGTAGCCGTGTTTTGCTTGGATTCAGGCTGAGCGTGGACGGGGAAAATAGGAGCGTAATTGAAAGTCAAAGAGTGAGACCGAAAAATGTGGCCTTATCTTGTATGTTTGTTCACCTGGTTAGCGGGGTTAGTGAGTGAAGGACATGAGAAGAGAGAGGGGGGAAGACCCGCCATGAAACACAAAGTCCATCACGGAAAACAATAGCAGAGTAAACATTTTTGAGTTAAAGTCATCAAAAGTGAGATGAATGAGGGTGTGTGTGGGCCCAGCAGCTGTTTTAGACAAGCTTTTTCAGCCTCCCTGAGTCAGCCAAGACGCATCAAAGAGAGGCAGGACAGTAGAAGAAGAAAATGAAGATAAAACAGGGACAGAAAAAGAGAAAGGAAAACAAGGGAAGGAGAAGAGGAAAGAGAGGAGCACATTCAGAATGAGTGTAAAGTGAGTATAAAAGGAAGAGAGCAGACAAAAGGAGACACAGTTAACGAGAAGGCAAGAAACAGTAGAAGAAATGGAAAAGAGAGGAGAGCGGAAGAACTGAGCGAAGCAGAAAGGGAAACAGAAAGGGTGAGGAGGAGAGGAGAAGAGAGAATGACAGAAAAAAAAGAGATGGTTCAGACCCAAACGTGGTTTCAATCAGCGCCGAGTTTGGGAAGAAGGATGTTTGATGGTCGTAATCGAGAGAGAGACTCCACCGACCGATGCTCGGCTCAGGAATGTGTTCGTACAAACACACACACACACGGCTCCTATTAGACTGTGGTTACTCTGGTTTATATCCAGCAAAGCCACCTCAAGCAAATACTGTACGTAGTGACATGGAAATATTTTATTGAGCCCTGCACCAAAATCCCCTGAATGGTGAGTTGCCCGAGGAAAACAACTCGGAGGTGCAGCAGAAAGACGGACTAAGCAGAAGTTTTAATGCAATAATGCATTTTTTATCACTAACTGGTGGTGTAACAGAAAAGAGTTTCCCCATCAACAGTGATTGAGTCCTGGTCCACTGATGTTTCGTTTCCGGGTATTGAAGTATCCACAGTTTTCTCTCTCACCACCTCTGAGATATCTGTGCAGATTTGTCTGGGACAGCGTTGAAAAAGAGCTTATTCATTGCTTAATTTTTCTCGGCATCCGTTCCTGTCATCTTTATGCCCAATTTTGCCATCCTCTCCCTTCACTCCATTTTTGTGAAAATGAAACCTAATATTCGTCACTTCTCACCCTTCCTTGCTTCAGCTTGAATTGACTCTCTCCCTACCTGAAGCTCACTTTGTATTTGATTTATTCTCTGACAGGAATCAGAACCAGTGGAGCAGCCTACCAGGGCGGTAGCAGCCAGGCCTTGCCCCAAAACAGACGCCCTAGTGGGGGTAACGGAGGAGATGAGGGATTAGGAGATAATCCGGGGTACGTCCAAGTCCCTCCTGTCGAGAGGTCTCTTTATTCTTTTCTGATATCCAACACACAGGCAGGCAGGCTGCTGCTGGGATTACAGAGTTAAACTCATTACCTTTTTAAGACTCAAACTTTTTTGAGGCCATTTTTTATCTGAGGCCTGAGGCTGCTGGCTGCTGTATGTGTGTGACTGTACCAGAGGAGCAAGTGCAAAGAAGGATCACAGAGAGGAGGGATAGAAGCAAATGTATAGGGTCCAGATACATAAGAGGAGTCGGAGCGGGCGACCCCCCTCTGAGCTACGGTCAAAGGTCTTCAACGGGATTACAGGCAAAGACAAAACACCAGAGCTTTCCATAAGCACACAGCCAGAGTAATTAATGGTTTGTATTCCTGTAATACTGCCGGTTATCAATTAGAATGAGGGTTCTCTTGTTCAGCCTTGATGTACAAGACAAACTCCTTCCCTTATTGTGAAAAGCATAGAGCCGTTATGTCTGCGACCGCTGTCCCTGGGGAGTTGTAATCAGAGGTGGCCTGTTGCTTCAGCGTGGTTCATGTAAACGTGCACAAGGTCCCTGCGCGCCCACGCCATCTTAGATTAAACATCACACCTCGGTATACTGGTCCCTGGCGTCCCTTCGTGAGCCTTGATATGGCTCTGCTCAGCGCTGGTATGTGCGGCGCTTCCTCCCTCCTCGCTCCCAGATGCCCCTCTTAAAAAAACGCCAGCCAGGGGAAGTGGAGCGGAGGGCCCTGGGACTGCGGTCAGCAGCAAATTAGAAGGGCTGGCTTGGACCTGACGCAATCCCCATTTCTTGAACCATAGCGGGTCATTAATGAAGCCAGACGGGGCTGTGCATGCGTGGGAGGCCTGCCGACATTGAGCCGCGGCAGTGGAAAGCTTTAAAGAGAACCAGAGGTCCATGTCAGGGCTGCTTCATGCTATCAAAATATTTTAGAATTGGATATCCATTACTCTGCTGGCAAAGAACAACACATGAGAAAAGGCAATTTTGTTTTGTTGCCTTTGTTACCGACTTACGGCGGTATGAAGCTCCAAAGAAAACGGCAAAAGGAAGCAAAAGCTGCCAGTCAAGTAAAAAATATAACAAAATGCATCAATTGATAAGACTATTATTCAAATAATTAAAATGGAGCGTAAAAATGAATACAAATACAAGCTTTACCATCTAAGGACGCTGCAAATAATGTTAATGGAAGATAATATAGGCAGAAATATGGTGTCCAAGAATTCTAATTGACGTTAGCTAGCCTACTTTGTCAGCATTACCTTACCGGCTAAAATGCTTTAGCTACTGTTAAAAAACTTTATACAGTAATGCTACAGAAATTTGAAGTACATGGCTGATTAATGTTACCGGTGCAACAGTTGTATGTAGCTAGCTGAATAGGCTGGTGCTCATTGTATATAGCCTTCAGTTAAGCTAGCTAGCCACACAATTATCTCATTGCTCCACTGACCATAAACACAGAAAACGACAAAAAAAGTCAACGTAAATAGAAATAGTTAAAACAGGGAATAGATAAATGACCAAAAATGGAAACCTAAAAAGTTAAAAAATTAATTTAGCCATTGAAAGATACATTTTTACAAATTTAACTTTTATTTAACGTTTTAATTTATTTCATTAACATATTGTAGGTGAGGAAAAAAGTATACAAAGCATTTCTCTTTTTTTTTTACCAACTTATTGGAGATAAAAAAAAGTACATGACGGGTTCTTTTCACACTCAATTTTAATTGTAGTATAATTAATTAACTAAGTACATTTTTGAGTTGTCTGATCATCTTTTACTGCGTTTCGACTGGCAGTCTAGTAGGCTACAGTGAAGTAGCAGCAGGGATTTTCTTATCAGGAAATTTATATTATCTCTTCCCGTCTCGCTGAGCATACTTTGCCTGTTTGTAAACACATCTAAGCCTGTTGAATGAGCGCTGCTGCTTGGCTTCCAAAGCGTGATAAGTGTTTTCAGTGAAAGGTAAAATGAACTTTGTGTAACCTTCATGCCAGACAAAGCAGGACAAAATGGATGCAGGAATTCCTTGAAAGTCCACCCATTTTATGGACAAAAGGCAGTCTTTGGTTTTTGCACAGAGGAGTGACTGTGGTCTAAATTTAGATGGTTCCAGACCAGCGGACCTTTGGAATCCTAAAAAAACCTGCGGAAAGACAGATCTAGTTGACGTACAGCATTCAGAATAGCAACGCACCGTTGTCTCTCCCTTAGTCTCAACGTCCACAGAAAAAACTGCAAATGTCATCCCTCAAAATCAAGTTCATCCCCGTCTGCATTTTAAAGATAGATGCTTTTTTCCCCTGTTTTTACTCTCAATAGATGGTTCCGTGGTGCGGCCGCAGAACCGTTTGCAGCTGGACTCAGACCTATTTCTGAGCTGATGTCGACTAAGCCAAAGCCCAAGGCAAGCGGGGGGAAACCAGGCGACCTGACCGCACTCCAACTGGTCCGGCTTCTTCCAGGAACACAACTGCACAGTGTTCTCCCCAATTTATGGCTGTTTAATTCAGCCAGCTATGCATGACAACGGGCTACGAAGAGGGGGACAGAGTTTGGCTTGCATATGATAAACAGAGATAATATTCCAGTGAACTGTTTGGCGCTGCAGGCCTGGAGTTTAACTTTTCAGAAAATACACAGTTTCAAGATCTTGGATTAAGCTTTCAGAGCTATTTCAGGTCCATACTTTGGACTGCTGAGCTGTCAATACTTTTGACAAAGATCTAAGAGGAGAAAAGTTGACTTTACTTTACTCCGTTTTGCCATTCAGTGGGATTAAAGGCAATTCCAAGCATTGTTTAAAGTTGATTTTTAAGAGATATTAAGCCATTCCCCTCTTGTGATCATGAATCTTCAGGAAAAGTTGTCAGGCCTAAAGGGACTGGTCACACACTCCCACAGCAAGCGCCGCTTTAAAGGCGACCTCACGCTGGACATGATAAGCCCTCCTCTGGGGGACTTCCGCCACACCATGCACGTGGGCCGCGGCGGCGACGTGTTTGGGGACACCTCGTTCCTCAGCAACCATGGCGGCACCGCCAACGGGAACAACGGGGAAACGGCTTCCGTCTCCAGCCCGGACAACAAGATCGGAGCGTTCTTCTCCAGGACGCTCCGACACATCAGGAGGGGCTCCGACAACCGACCCACGGGAGGGTCCAAGGATCTGTCGCCGCCACCTCCCGTCCTTTCTCCCATCATCAAGAACGCCATCTCCCTCCCAAGGCTGGATGTGGACATGCCAAATGGGAGTCCCACTGCCAAAGTGCTCTTCCCTAGTTCTCAAAGCACGCCAGAGGAGGGGAAAAGCTCTTATGGTGAGTTTAAGAAAAGAATAAGGTCAAATGAGTTAACCGGCGTTAACTGGATACCGCAGAGAAGTGGGAACCATCTGGAGAGCCGCAGTGAAACTCATCCATCAGTTAGTACCCAGTAATCTAGACAGATTTGCCCCAGATGTCCTTATGAATCACCTTGGCTCATAATCAGCACGCACTGATAACAAACAGAGATCCAGATAGAGCCGGTAACAAGCTGTCTGAGAGGCTCAAATAAACCTCACACTCATAGCTGATACCTCCCCTGTGTGTGTGGATGTAAGAGTTTTGTGTGCGATGCCATTTCTATCTGAAATCTTCCGACAAAAATCACATAATTCACTCAATTTTGTAGCGATAACTGGAGCTACTTCCCTCTCCAGTAATTGTGCATTAGGACACATGGATGGGGAGGGTCTGCTGGGTTTTCATCCAACCAAATCCTCCACAATCTGGCTTCTTGCATTCTGGTTTAAGTGTGTTAATCTGTGAAGTCAGACGCTGTTTTCTTTGGGTGGTACGAAAAACCCTCCAGACTCTCGGCCCTTCACGGGCTGGCACCGAGAGGTGCGGCGGTAATTTTAGCCGCTTGGGTCATCAGTGCGCGAGTGTGTGACTTGTTAAGCGATCTGGCAGGGTCGGGCAGATGATTCACTGTTCACACAGCGGAACAACTCAGCACTTTTCAGGCTGGGGTTTGCCGGCCTGTCATCATCAGACAGGATGTTCTCCGATGGGTGCACGCTGCCCCCTGTTGGACCCGTATGATAAACCATCATAATCTGAAATATATTTAGTGTTTGACATAATACATAACTTGTATATATAAAAAATACCTCCTACAGATTTGTGTGTATTGACATCTGTGTCTTCTCCTCAGGTCTCGAGTCTGGTTTCGTCACTCTGCCTCGTCTCTCCCGCTCTGAGCGTCAGCAGCCGTCCATCTCCCTCCCTACTTCCTGCTCCCCTCACGTCCACCGCGGCTCTCTGACCGACCCCACTGATGCCATCTTGTCCACCTGCTCCGCCTCCATCATGACCTTTGACCCCAAACCCACCTACTCCGACTCCCTCCCCTCCCTCACGTCTTTGGACACCTTCACCTTTGACCTCGGCCCCTCCCTCATGAGCGAGGTGTTCGGCCTGATCGACGGCCACCACCCGGAGGAGCGCGGCCACACCTGGGAGGGAGAGGAGGCGGGGTCGGCGTGCGGGTTGACCAATGAGGGGTCAGAGATGGACTCGGCTACTATCTCATACGTGGACTCCCTGCTGAGGGAGGACTGCGGGGGCAGGAAGAGCCCGCATGGGGCCGAGTGGGAGGAAGAGGAGGCGAACGGAGTCGGGCTTTCTGATAAAGTACCTGAAGTGGCGATGGGGTCCCCTGAACGAGGGAGGTTGGGGCTAGGGATGGAGAGCGAGCGGTTTCAGAGCGCCACAGATGTGCTCGCACGCCACTACGGCGTCAGCCACTCGAAGGGACGGAGCAGGATGGAGGTTGCAGATTCAGAGATGATGACCATCAGCCAGCCCAAGAACAAAATGTCCTACAGTTACATGGACGACGAGGATGAAATCAAAGTCTGAGTGTAGATGTTTTGACACTACGAAACTGTCTCTGATGTATGATTTCTCTGTAATTCCAATCAAATCAATCATCTAAAATCTTGTTGTGGTCAACAAGGCTGGCTCTTTTGACAGGATGACCATGAAAACTACAACCCAGTATGCTTCGCATTGGATGCTTTACTTTTACACAATCACGCTTCAAGGATGTACAGTTTTAACGCAGAACTGTCGCTGAATCGAATGAAAGACTCAATGCAGAGAGGGAGAATGCTTTTTTTTTTTTTTAAATGATAGGTCGAAACTTAAAAAAGGACTGAAACAAAGAGGAGGCATTGGAAAGCGAGGATGTGCCAGAGAATGTAGATGTAGAGATCGTCACAAAGGAACCGCCAACACAATACACAATGTAGACGTTACGAAGCCTGTCATTCAGTGTGGCTACAGCCTTTGTGCCAAATGGGCATTTTGATAGCTTGGACAGTTTTCATGATGTTTCAGGAAAATTTTGGGTCCGTTTCAGATTTTATAATGGGTGTGTATTGCACAGAATGTTCGGCGCTAGAGTGATGGAGCGGAGCATGAAAAGTATTCTCATAAGTATCCATTTTAGCATCAGTAACTGCAATATAAAGGAAGGGATGCAACGGTAAAAACCTTTCACTTGTATTGAACACTAAGAGGGAGAGAAAGTAAAGTCACACACAACTACTAGTTTGAAATATAACACAATTAAGTCCAACGTCTAAGTCAAATATGCAGGATAAGTAGGACTATATTCACTTTACTGATTAAATTAGTTGCTTTTTTGGACAGAAATATAGTTTTCTATTTTTATTTTTTCTTGGTTTAAAAGTTATTTTCCTCTTTTTTTTCATGTCATAAACTAAAATACAAACAAATACACACGAGCATGTTCAAACAGAATTGGTAAAAAAAAAAAAAAGACCTCCTATGATGGACAACAGCCCCTTTTTATTCAGATGACGTAAACCTGCCGAGTAAATATTCCACAGGTGACCACCTCCCTTTGCAGATGAAGGCCATGTGATGCGGCTGAAAGCTGTGGAAGAAACCCAATAAGTAGACCGTGAGTTATGAATTCAAACTGATGAATTTACCAGTGCAAATACCAGTTTACATTAATTATAGATAAGTCTTTATCATCATTATATGTGGATCTGCTTTCTACCCAGTTTTCTACATTTCAAAAAGAAATCTTTTGTTTTGATCAATAATTCACGTAAGGTGCTCTTTAACAGATACGGTTATGTTATAAAATGTTATTGTGAGCTATAAAGTGTATTTTCTGCTTGTACTTTTTGTGAACCTAATATGTTCTGCAGCAGTCTGAGAGAGAAAGACCACCAGCGGGTTGTTCAATGAAACACTTTCCTTTGACTTCTCCGACGCACACACACACACACACACACACACACACACACACACACA